GTCCGGTCTTACAATTTGAGGTATAGCTGTACCTGATCATTTAGACTGAAATAGATATAATTTACTTTCCTTTATTTCTCTTTTATATTAGTTAGGACATTATATTGACTTTTAAAATAAATGTGGCACGGGTGGGTTATATATGAATTTATCTTAACATAGCAAGGGGACAATACAAGGTATTTGTTAAAATTGAGTATCTCAATCAATAGCCCACAAGTTATTGGCTTCATAGAAGCAAGAAGTGTGAACTGAAGGTTTATAAAAGTTCCTGAATTCTACTTCAGCCTGTCTGGCTTTTTCTGTTTGTTGTTGTTTGTGTTTTTTTCTTACAAAATTAGCAATAAAACCTTAAAAACTGTTTTATTGAAGTATATCTTGTTTACTACTTACTGATTTGTTTTTACATTATATACACACCTATGTAATCAACATCCAAGGTAAAGATACAGAATATTTATAGCACTTCAAAAATTCCATTTGTGCCCAGCCGGTGTGGCTCCGTGATTGAGCATCAACCTATGAACCGGGAGGTCACATGTTTAGGTTGTGGACTTGATCCCCAGTAGGGAATGTACAGGAGGCAGCCGACCAATGATTCTCTCTCTTCTTCTCCCTTCCTCAATGAAATAAAACAAACAAAACAAAAAAACAACCCCATTTGTGCCATTTCCTAGCCAATAAGCTGTCAGAGGCAACCATTATACTGAATTCTTCAACATAGATTTGATTCCAGAGTTTTATATTTTAACATTTCAATTACTAAACTACACAGTTCTATGTATTATGTTTATACTAGAAGCCCAGTGCATGAATTCGTGCATTGATGGGGTCCCTCAGCCTGGCCAGCGATTGGGGCTGATCAGGGCTAGCGGGCCACAGGGAAGGAATGCAGGAGGTTGGCTGTGGGAACACACTGACCACCAGAAGGCAGCTTCTGCGTTGAGCGTCTGCCCCCTGGTGGTAGTGCATGTCATAGCGAGTGGCTAGTCGTCTGGTTGCTTAGGCTTTTATATATACGTAGATAGATTTTTACTGTCTATTTTCCCATCTTTACTTTGTGCACATGTATTCACATCTTGTTATAGACATTTTTATTTTTTAAAAAATTAAAATAAATATTTTTATTGATTTCAGAGAGGAAGGAAGAGGGGAAGGGAGAGAGAGAGATAGAAACATCCATGATGAGAGAGAATCATGGATTGGCTGCCTCCTGAAAATCCCCCACTAGGGATTGAGCCCACAACCCAGGCATGTGCCCTTGACCAGAATCGAACCTGGGACCTTTCAGTTCGCAGGCTGGCGCTCTATCCACTGAACAAAACTGGCTAGGGCTAGACATTTTTATTAGAACTAATTTTTACTACAGATAAAAAAATAAATGGATTCAGTTTTATTTCCTATTATATTGATTAATTATATTGCCATCTCAGTCATGGCTGTGCACGGCATACCTTCATGCCTGAGTATCACCTTTCCTAAGTGGAACAACAGATTAAAAAAAAAATCAGCTTACCAACCACAAATTCAATGTACAACGTTCCTGGTTCGTAGCAAGCAACTTTAGTACAAAAGGAATATCTAACATACCTCAGATTTCTAGACCATGCATATAGATACATACAGTAAAAGGTGAAAGGTTTATATGATCTGAAGAGAAATGAGAGTATAAACCCCTTTGGTGCACGAGACGACGCCCAATCAACTAAGCTACACCAGCCAGGTTAGGACAAATGCCAGGATTGTGGGCTCGATCCCCCATAGGGGGTGTGCAGGAAGCAGCTGATGGGATGTTTCCCTCAAACATTGATATATACATCTCCCTTTCTCTCTAAAAATTAATAAAGGCTCTTTAAAAAATAAACACATACATGCAGTAATTAACTGCAAACTTATCTATTATGGAGAACAGATGAATACATGTCAATATAATGAAATGTCCTACTGCTAATAAAAACTAAGTAAAATAGGGAGAAAAGCAGGTAAAATAGTAACTAAAGTTTTAAAATGATAGGCAATGATCCTATATAAAAGGCTAATACGCAAATCTACTGAACGGCAAAACTGGTCGCTATGATGTGCACTGACCACCAAGGGGCAGATGCTCAACGCAGGAGCTGCCCCCTGGTGGTCAGTGCACTCCCATAGGGGGAGTGCTGCTCAGCCAGAAGCCAAGCTCACAGCCTGCGAGTACAGTGGCAGTGGCGGAAGCCTCTCCCACCTCCTCAGCAGTCGGACATCCCCCGAGGGCTCCCAGACCTTGACTGCAAGGGGGTGCAGGCTGGGCTTAGGGACCCGCCCTCGTCCAGTGCATGAATTTCGTGCACCGGACCTCTAGTATAACATATTTAAATAGCAGACTGATTTAGAGGGTAAGTTCTGCATTTGTTCCTAATTTTAGATATTTCTATTCAACTTACAGTTCAGCTAGCTTCAATAGACAATTAAAAGTTAGCAAATAAAAATTCATACGAAAACCATATAAACCATTTTCACAGGTCTTCTAACACTAACCACATTGTGCATGTTGATAGAAGTCTTTGAACTCAAGGACCTTAAGGTATTTTAAATAATGTCTACTGTCTTCCTTTGTTCAGGCTCTTAAATAGAAGACTCAGAAAAAAAAATTTTTTTTTAAAGTCCCATCTTACCTGGGAGTTAGTTCATATGTGAAGTTAAAGGCACTATTCCTATGAAATCATCTTAAAAGTTTACCTCTAGTAACACAATTTTAAGCTCCCAATAATAGGAACTAGACTTAAGGACTCTTTATTTCAGGCATAGTTGATGGTGTAAGGTACAGACTCAATAAAAATTTCCTCTAAATTTAGTCAGTTCCCTTAAAGTTCACTCATTTCTGGGGATTTGTCTCCATCAGGTTGATATACAAAAATAATCATTTAAATAAAAGATAATTGCCGTATGTAGACTGTGATTACTACCACTGTTCGACTAATTTCTATTGCCAACATAGTTATCAGAACATTACCCTAGAGACTGAGTTAAACCAAAGATTTTGGAACCAAGCATACAGAATAATTTATTTGAGGCCCTCCTTTATAAACCCATGCACACAGTCTCAATGGGAACTCTTCTTCGGCCTCCTGTTCATATCTAAAATAGCCAAACTTCCTAGATCATAATTCAAATGTAGTGAACACTTCTCATATTTCTCAATGGAAATCTTGTTTGGAATTCTTTAGAATCTGATGTGAAATAAAGGAAACATTTCTTCATGACTTCGAAATTTTAATTATAAGACATATGATTCAACAGAATGAATCTCTAATATTTAAAACAAAATCAGAGTAAGGAATCACATTACAGAGCTAAAGCCAAATTACACTTTTGGACTTCTGCGACCTCAAACACACAAACACACCGAGATAATATTTTCAGCAGTATGAGATTATTTAGAAGACTGACTTTTATTTCACCCTCAAAAGGGTTGCTGAATAGCTGGAAAGGCTTCCTTAACTCAAAACACAGTTACAATTCTTTGACTTGCGTTAACAGAAAAAACTCAGGCAGTAAAAAAGGAATTCTCACCCTTTGCAATAGCATCGATGGACCTGGAGATCGTTATGATAAGCAGAAATAAGCCAATCAGAGAAAGACAAATGCCATATGATATCACTTATTTGTTAATAAGTGGATTCCAATTAACAAAATAAACTGAAAAAATAGAACCAGAGGCATGGATACATGAACCAGACTGACAGCTGTCAGAAGGGAGGGGAAGGGGGCTGGATAAAGGAAGGTGAAGGATTAGCTAAGAACATATATTGCATAGCCCTTGGGCACAGACTATATTGCAGTGAGGGCAAGGGGGGCAGTGACTGGATGGAGGAGGGCAAAAGGGGTGGGGGATGGGAGACATCGGCACAGTGTCAACAAAAAATTTAAATTAAAAATTATTTTTAAAGATACATTTACAAGAGTTTAGTAAATAGTTGAAAATTATCCACATATCAAATAACAAAGGCATGATTAAATAAATTGAAAAGTTTTATATATGCATTACTAGAAAATCAATAAAAATAATACTTCCAAAGAATCTCTAATGAAAAGAAAGAAAAAAACTCAGGCATCTCAGAAAGCTTTTAACATTGATAAGATGACATTTCTTCCTCTAAGGAGGGTAAAGGCAAGCTCTCAAACAGCCAACATTTTAAAATACCGTGTTATGTAATTAATATTGTAACAGTATGTAATTTAATAGTAAGGTGACAGCTTACCCAAATGAAATATCCGGACCAAAATAATTCCTAATTTTATTCAAGAGGAAAACTATGAAAGAATACGAACTCTGCCAATTACCTGAAGAAAGCTTCCTGGTGACCAAGGACCCTCTCAGTAAGGGGGCAACACTAAACTCCCGGAGCAAGAGCTCCACCTACTGATCGACAACACTTCTTCCTTAAACATTTTGGCACCCCAAGTCTCGGGCGCTCACGCTCTCTCCGCCCCCCTCCACTCGGTCTGACCCAACCCAAATCCAGTTGAGTCACTACCTCTTAATACTCCCTGCTTTTTTTATTCCAATTCCTCCTTCTTCCAGAAGGTCCTGCAACGCTCTCAAGCGTGAATAAAACGGAAAGATGACCAACACCAAGGTTCGCGGTGTGGAGCCTAGACTGAGGAGGGCAACCCGACCACTCCGCTTGGAGAGGCGGGCCGGGGGTGTCTCGGC